TTCGCTTTAAAACACCTACTCTAGATCCACACTGTTTTAATTTTTTAACAAATTTTTGTAATCGTGTTTACTTGCAAGTTCGTAATGTAACTTATCGGAAGATTAATTTCTCTAGTTTCCATTACATATAACTAATGGTTTCATTAATTATAATGGTTTTATAATACTATCACTCAGAAATATAAAACTCTCATTACGTTACAATGTTAATTAGTATCCTTCATTATTTTTGTTCGTTGTCCATACTGAGCCAACTACTATATATCTTCTGGTTTTGTTTTCACTTTGTTTGTATTCCGAGCTTCTTTTACTGCTCTTCTCGAACTGTAGAGTTGAACCAGGTGCGTAGATTTTTCAGCCAGGAAATCCTTCGCCTTCCTGTTCCTCCTTTTTGCTGTTACTTTTCCTTGTAGAATTAATTGTAGCAACCCATATACTTCGCTGTTCCTCAGGATGTGACCGAGGTATTCGATTTTAGCTGTTTTAATAACTAAGCTGGTTAACAACTCTTTTCTTTTTGTATTCTTAATAAAATAACCTGGGTAGTAATGTGGTCGGTGAAGGATATCTTCAGGAGTCGACGATAAAGCCACATTTCGAAAACCTTAATTTTCTTACAGGTAGTGTCTGTGACAGTCCACGACTCACGCAGATGTGAGCGTTGAAATAGCCCTTGTATGCTAAAGAGAGCCTCTCGTACCCACTGCTTTCCGAATTTTTACTTCGCATAGTCTATATGTCCTTTGATGTATGATTTTTAAAAATAACTTTAAAATGTGGCTCATTACGCTGATGGTTCGGAAATCATTGTAGGATACGGATTTTGTTTTTTCTTTGGTAGAACAATAATCGTTGACTTCAGCCATGATCTTGGTATTACTCCGTTTAAATATACGTCGTTGAATATGTTTGTTGGTCGTTGAATACCGACGGTGTTAATTAGCTTTATGAGTTCAGCATATGCATTGTCAGGTCCAGGAGCTTTGCCATCTTTTAGTTGAGATATTGCTTTTTCCACTTCATCTGATGTGATTGGTAAGTGGTCATTACATAGTAGGACGGAGATTGTTCGGACCTATTATCATCAAAGAGTTCTTGTATGTATTTGGTCCATATGCATATTTCTTGATTTTTATCTGTGATGATGTTCTCCTGTTGATCTTGTAGTTTCCTAGCTGTGTTTGATTTTTGAAGACCAGCTGCTTATTTTACCTTTTTATGCAATTAAATGTATCGTGTTTTTGTTCCAAAAACTCTATCTCTCCACACTGTGTTTTTAACTAATTTTCTTTGACCTTTCGTATTTCGGTTCTTATGTGTCTCTGAATATTTTTGTATATTCTTTTGTTATTCTTTGATTTTTTTTTTCCATGAGTTGCAGTATATTGTCATTCATCCAACTTTTCCTCTTCTTTTTATTTTCTATTAGATGTTCTTCTCTGATTTTGTTAGAGGTATCACATATATTCTGGAGTGACTAACTTAGACAAGCGATATCCTGAGACATTTCGTTTTTAAAAATTTTCTGGATACGAGTACGAAAGAAGACGAGAATATAAAGGAAATAAAGGTATGAATGGATGCAGGTATCCTGCTTCGCCAGGAGAAAAAAATAAATTGTCTGACCAAGGAACGAGTTACAAAAATCGTTCTCAAAATATCAAACTAAAATTGTGATTATCAATAAAAATAATAAATTCTGTTTATAATAAATGCCACAAGAAAACTTCAGAACAATATGTCAAATTTATTCTTTGCTAGAAGTTTTCTGTGAACGATCATAATTTCTAGAATTTAAGTCATAATTTCTCCAGCTTTTTTGAGAAAGAATTCATCGTATATGGAGACAAACCACGGAGCTTTTCCAGGAATAGCGCCTTTCAGTGCAGTGATATTTCTTCTATAGTGAAACGGTGAGAGTGCTCGGTTTCTATCGATGATGGTTTTAAAGGTTGTAAACGTTTCTCGATATGGCTTATACAATCTCTATCTTTGGATGACTTTCATCTCCAAGGTAGTTTATTAGGGATCATACTTTTTGACATAATTTTTTACTGTTAGTAAACTTCCGTTGTTTTGCTGCATTTAGGCTGTGAATATACTTTTTTCGGTGGGTGTCTTTCATCTCCAAGTAGGTTTGGAGCAACATTTTTCGACATAATTATCTACTGTCAGTAAACTTCCGCAGTTTTGCTGCATTTAGGCTGTGAATAAACTGGTCTACAATTTTTTGATCGCCAGTGTTAAGCAAGATTTGATATCTGGTTCTGACTTCACAATTTTGAGACCGGTCAGTGTTATATTCTTCTAAATATTCTCTTGGCATTTAGTTCTTGGCTGTGCTTATTACTGCTGTGAGAAATCGGGCATCATTTTAAAATTAAATTTAAAGATCCGTCTGGCTCTTTGAATCGATCTGATTAGGGGAATTTCTTTTTTGTTCGCTAGAATAATTGGACAATGTTGGCAGACATGTCTGTCATGGCCAAAAGATTCAAAATATCAAGGCGTCAAAATATTACTTTTTCACGATAGCAATACATTGAAGGTTTCAATCACTCGATACAGTAATAATTCGTAGCCAACGGAGATTGTGCTAAAACAGATGATACCTGGACAAATTATTGAGTATTTATTATATCAACAAATGAACGCTACAATATGACGCGACATATTTAGTTTTTAAACCTATTTATAATTGAATATTCTTTTTTTTTTACCCAGCCTATGGGAAAACGCCGAAATAATACTTTTACACAAGAAAGGAGACACTACTAATATTGAAAACTACAGACCTATAAGTTTGTTGTCACACTTATACAAATTGTTAACAAGAATAATAACCAACCGCATAACACAAAAACTTGATTTATATCAACCGGTTGAACAAGCGGGATTTAGAAAAGGGTTTGGTACTAATGATCACTTACAAACCATCAGAACACTAGTAGAAAAAACCACAGAATATAATGTACCTTTACATATGGCATTTATCGACTTTCACAAGGCTTTCGATAGTAGTGAGACTTGGTCCTTTTTGTCAGCCCTGAAGGATGCTCGAATAGACTCACGGTACACTACACTCATTAAAAACATTTATGAACAGGCCATATTCCACATCAAAATCAATGAAGACGAAAAAACTGAAAAAATGCGCCTTGATAAAGGTATTAGACAAGGTGATACTATTTCACCAAAGCTTTTTACCTTAGCATTGGAAAATGTATTCAAACAGCTTGACTGGGAGGAAAAAGGTCTAAACATTGATGGTGTACGTTTGAGTCATTTAAGGTTTGCGGATGACATAGTATTATTTAGTACAGATATCAAGGAACTGGAGCAAATTTTGAAGGAATTAAACCAGCAGTCAAATAAAATAGGTCTCAAAATGAACCTTCAGAAAACAAAAATAATGAGTAATTTACAAACTAATCTTGTTATTGACGTCAGTCTTGAAAATGTAGACCAATATATATATATATATCTTGGACATACCATTAAAATCGGCAAAGAAAATCAAATAGCCGAAATAAAAAGACGCATACAACTGTCTTGGGGAGCTTTTGGCAAATTAAGCTTTATTTTGAAGAATAAAGATATACCAATGTGTCTAAAACGTAGAGTTTATGACAAATGTATCTTGCCTGTAACTACATATGGACTGGAGACCATGGCCTTCACAAAGAAAACCTTAGAGCAGCTCAGTACAACCCAAAGAGCAATGGAGAGGGCCATGCTAGGGATTAGTTTGAGAGACAGGATTCGAAATGACGTCATTCGTGAAAGAACAAAAATTACTGATGTCTCAGAACGTATTGCAAGGCTCAAGTGGCAATGGGTCGGACACGTTGCCCGAGATAATCCCGAAAAATGGACACAAAGATTAACAAACTGGAGACCAAGAGAGAACAGGCGAGGAGTAGGCAGACCGTAGAAGAGGTGGACAGACGATATCAAACAAGTCGCGGGCAAGCAGTGGATGAGAATTGCCAAAAGTAGAAATCGATGGAAGCAAATGGAAGAGGCCTATGTCTAGCAGTGGACGAACACAGGCTGAAGAAGATAATTGAATACACTTTTAAAAACCATAAGAAATAAAATTTATTTAACTGAACGCCTCAACTTTAATCGTTTACAGTCTAAAATTCAGAAGTTTTAACGTACTATTACTACGTTGTTGTGTGGGTTCCGAGAATAAGTAAAGCAGGATGTGGTTTAGTTTAAAAACTCACTTAATTACAAATATTACAATTACTTATTACATTAATTATTATTGCTTAAAAGAATTTGCACCGATTCGTGGAATCGCCAATATAATCTTAAATCCCGCCTCGGTTGGCTTATATAATGAGAATAGAACTGTCTGAAAAACAGTTGATTGGGCGATGAGAACTCAGTAATTCTTGAAGATTATTTCTACGTCGATAGAATCAGTTCGTGGAATATTTCGGAGTTGGAGAGAAGCTTCTGGAATGTCTTTAGCGCACATGGTCGCAATCAGGGTATGCGATTCATAACAGTACTATATCTGAAAAAGATTCTCAACATCTATCCAAAAATCTTCTACAACTATATAAAAATTTTTACTTAAATATTGTTACACATGTTTATTGGTTATTTAAGTAGCGATGTTATACGTGAAATAAATCAAATACGTATATAAATTATAAAGAAAATGTATTTTGTATTCTGCATGAGTAAATGATACAAGCATGATGTATCTCTTTTAGTTATAAAAAAACAATTTTTTTTCTTTTTTGTAAGAATGTTTTGTAGTTTGTTGCCAATAACAGTCATTTTTTTATTCGTGAAGAGTTTATGATGTAGCATCGTGATTTTGGTTTTAGGTAATCATCACTATTTTTCACTAAACACAAATTCAGCTTAAAGTAACCCTTCGTAAAAGCTATCGTTTCATTAGTGTTAAAGTATGTTTAAAAGTGTGTACTTTAAATGTTAATTAATTTTGAGATTACTATTTTTAATCGATAATTTTTTAGGAGCAACATTCAGAAAACCAGGAACGTCATTCTCTTATGCGAGATGCCAAGTCAGAAAATGCCATTTCGGAGTACGGAGGGGATCTGTCAGCTCAAGGTAATGAACTCTAGTTTTTTAATGAAGGTACATCCTAAACATTATACATGCAAACCATTAAATCCAAAATATCTTTGTAACGCTCGGACACTTATATACATATATAAGGATACATGTTGGAATCACATTTCCATATTATGAGATACTGTTATGTAAGAAGAGATGATTTCCTCCAATACTGTTTTTATCTTACCACGCCAATCATCTAGTTTTCTTGACCCTTCGCTCCTATATACTGGGCTCAAGGCAAAGTAACAGTACACATAGCACTGTTGTGAAATTTAGTAAGGCTAGAAGAAATAAAGACTGGTGTGGCGAAGATGATCGAGTCATAAATCAGCAGAAAAACAAAGCAAAGCAAAATCCAGAAAGCTTAAAGATTATAAATATATTTGGACCTTCAGGTGGAAAAAAACGACTAAGAAAATGCCCTAAACTAAATAGCCAATCCCCATAAGAGAAAAGATATGCGAAAATACCAACTACCAACTGATTGGTATTGATTGACTGACGAAATTTTTAGGAAAAATATATGGAAAAGTGAAAGAGCAAGGATTGTGGAGTAGGCCTGTTGTAGGAGTTGTAGAGAACTTTTGCAAAGCCTGGCGTTATGAAATTGATTAAGGTGAAACCTTAGATGTATAGGGCTCGTAATCAAGCAAGAAAAAGACACGAACCAATTAGAAGATGACATAAAATCTATCGTGGTTAAAGGATGGAGAAATATGGCACTACAGTATGGAATGGAATATTGTTCTTAAGAAGAGTTTTTCTTATAATGAGATGGAATGCAACTGATTATGAATAACTGATCACTACACTTTTTGGTATTACAGTATGCGATCCGTATTTTCGTTTTCTTATTTGTTTGTTTTGTTTTAGATAAAACTTAATTCAGTTATACTAAAAATATATTAGTAAAATTTTTGGCTCAATATTTTAATCAATATCTGTCGTGATAGTGTCTTACACCATTTATTTCTTCTAATACAAATTGACATATTTTTCAATTTATATTTTTAGAAATTGTCCAATTGACATATTTATTTTGGGTTTCTTGTTTTCTATAGGTTTCTCCAACGAAGCCACAGGGTTGGCTTTCAGCGGCGATGAAAGCGACAAGCCATCCGAAGATAACATGGACACCGCCAAAAAGACAGAAATCTTATTGAGGAAAAGGGAATACGTTCTGCAGGAGTTGATAGATACCGAAGAAGCGTACGTTAGAGATTTGTCTTTAATCGTTGATGGTTACATAGCTACTCTGAAAGATCCCGAATGTGAAATACCCATGCCAGAGGATTTGAAGGATGGAAAGGACAAACTAGTCTTTGGAAATATCGAAGTCATTTATGATTGGCATAAAAAGTAAGTTTATTTTCTTTTTAAAGCTTGAGTAAAGAAATCTCTGATGGAGATATTTGGAAAGTAAGGAATATGTAAACCGATCTACCAATTTGGTAGACCTCATACAGAGAATTCGTATTGAAATGCAACAAATTACATCAGTAATGTTCATAACCCAAACATCAGTAATGTTCAAACATAACCCAAGAATTCATTGGACGTCTTGGATACTGCCAATTAAACCAAGGAGCTCAATTCGAGGATTTGTTGTAATTATGTTTGTGTGTCTTGAAAACGAAATGACTTCCTTAATAATTTTCTTTGTAAAATAGATTTTGAATTAAATTTTAAGAAATACGAGCACTGTTTTGCTTTACACTCTGTATACTGAAGGTAGAGCTTTTAAATTTAAAATTAAACATATGGTTGAACTCGTATTGAAGTAAGGTTTCGAATAATAATAAAATATACAGAGTGTTGTATTAAAAAAAAATTTTATCCAATTTTTAACCAATTTTATCAGAAAAATGATAAATCTGGCGGCAGTGCAAGCATAAAATTTGAAATCTCAATGTACAATTCGGAGCATATATTTAAGAGATAATTATATATATATATATATATATATATATATATATATATATATATATATATATATATATATATATTGTTATGCTATTTAAATTGTATTATATTGCTTATTTAGAAAAATCCTGTCTATATTTATTAAATGATCTAATCTCCAATTAATCACAATAAATCAGCATTAATTAATTACAATCTCAGGCTATTTAACTTGTACTATTTACCTTTGATCGTGGATTCAAAATATTTTCCAATTGGCTTCCTAATTGGGATAGGTAATATGACCTGAATAAAATACATAGAATTTCAACTGAACTATATGTGAGATGTCCTTTATTTTAATGAAATTTTATATAACAATCAATCCTGTAATATTTACAATATACTAAGTTTAAATATATGAGAAGTTGTTTTCTATCATGGACCCAAATGTTATTTTACATTGATTTTTAATATGTGTTATAACTAAGCTCTTTTTATAATTTTTTTTTAAATGATCGCAAAATTAACTGTCTCTATTATTTATTCAATTTATTTAATTAATAAATGAAAACCACACTCCTGCTCTAATGAAAATTGACTGACCTTTCTTTCTCTGCCGTTGCAATTCTATGGCCACGCCAAATAAAAAAAAAACCTTTCTCTGCTTCTGCTCCTATTGTGGTCCAGATGACGTACACCTTTCTCCTATCTGTCCTTGTATCTGCAACCCAACAACTCGTGTTATTCTATGCAGCCTCCTTTTGAGCCAATCTCCGCGCCTGTTTATAACTCCAAATGTTTCCGGCTTCGTCTGATATTAATATTCTTAGACCCTTTGGTTTTTCTATCTCTCCGTACCCCGTTCCTCACACTGATCAGCCTTTACACAGCAAATAAACACACCCGGTAAATTACGTCTTCGGGACTTCAAACAAACACAAATCACAAAGCTCCTTCCTTCTTGGACGATGAAAACTGATTAACTAATTTTTTTCCTCTCTCCTATCTCATAGCCAAAACCACCACCTCCTTGCATTCAAAAATTGACCAATAAAAATCATCCACCTCTGTGACGTATATCGTTACCAACCAACTCTCTCTATAAAACGTCATTCGGGTAATTCCAGAAAACAACATTCTTTAATTATTCTAACTAAATCTATCTACTTTACAAATATTTCTTAATAATAGCTACAAACGATACCTGTTTCTCAATTCAATGTCTTTTGTTAATAAACTTTTACCGATATAATCTTTAGGGGAGAAAAACCACCGCAAATCCCGGTCTATTGTTTAAACACTTTCTATATACACTTTTATTCCGGGTAAATCCATTCCACAATAACCGACTTATTTAAATTTCTTATCGATAATATTTGAAAGTCTTGTCTCTGAGGCCTAATGAACAATTCTTCGAACAACTTAAAATACATATTTTGTCTTATACAGGATGTTTGAAAATTTATATGCCCGTGTCTTTATGAAATATCAATAATTTTAATTTTTATTTAAGTAATAAAATTTGTATATCGGTTTTTTATTGCTTATGGACATTCAAAAGTACAACAATATATATATATATATATATATAATATATATATATATATATATATATATATATATATATATATATATATATTTCATTGATTTATTTATTCAAATATTTTGACTAATTTGAATGAACATAAAATTAGATTTACAGAATTAAAACTAGGTTATTAAAATACCTTACTGATAAGTATATTTACTTGGTGATTAACAAATGTTAGGTCACCGTGATTCACATTTAGCGATAAATCATAAACAACAAAGATCAAACTACCTCATCGATATCCTGACCTTCTAAAGTTTGATCTCATTATTTTTTAACATTTAAACACTATTACTGATATTAATGTGAAAGCAGATGCACAGGTATGCTAATAAATAAAAAAAAATAAAAACAAACTTTTCCGCAAATCGCCAGGAAATTTTGACATTCCTGTCAAAATTTCTTGAAGAAAAAGTCAGGACTGCCTTACTGTAAGGAAATGTCATTTCCTTACTGTAAGGAAATGATATTTCCGTACAGTTGTTAGTGTTCTACATAAATGATAGAAAACACATTGCTTATAAGGAATTAATTTATATTTTGAAAACATCAAGTCATTGCTGAATACATTTTTAAGATCAATTTGTTATATTTACAGTAATTTGACAGTTAGTACAATTATTGAACATTGGAGGAACACTCTTAGAACTATGAGAAACATTTTGGACAACATGCAGGGTGGAAGTGTCATTTTGTTGAATATTTTGTACTGTGAAAATTTTATTTGCCACCTCAACCTTATTGTTAAGCGATTCTTCGATATATCCTTCAGCAACTTTTGATGACTTTCCAGCCGCCATGCCTCTTTAAACTAGTTATGTCGGCACCAGAGTCAACCAATATTGTTGCAGAAGACCGACGAAAGCAGTGACCAGTATATTCTGTCGGATTTACCAAGTTCAAATAAGTAGCAATTATTTTGGGCATTTTTCTAAATTGATGAATTCCTACCACTTGTCTACAACCCTTTCCGCTTTGATATTTAAAGAAAAATCGGTCACTGTTCATATTTTCTGGTCTTAACGAAACATACTTTCGATAAACATTCAAGTAGATCTGATTAATTACAAATGATCTTGGTTTGTTGGTTTTCGAATCAGGTATGCTGATTAAAAGCTTAGATTCTAAGTCTTCTATATCGTGTACAGTCATTCGGACTAACTCATCCATTCTACAGGCCCCAGAAATACCAAATATTACAGCCACCTAAAAAATAAATAAAGCTATAATCTAAATAGAAATTAAAACCTTGTAAATTACCTTAATCATTAAATTTTCTTTATCTGGAGCTTCCTGGATAAATTTTTCAATTTCTTCCTTCGTTAAAATCTTAGATTTCTTTGCCCTATAACCTTGAGCTTGCCGTTTCAGTAAAGAACGAAGTTTTGAGTATGTAGATATATCTACATTGTGTTTAAGTGCAAGGGTTGACTTCAGCATTGAATAATTGGCCCATAATGTTGAAGATTTCATCTTTAAACAAAGGTCTAGGAAGTATGCCATTACAACATTTTCTGAGAAAGAACTCGTATTTTTACTCATGCGATAATCCATAAAACGTCTGTATGCATTTTCGTACTTTTCTCTTGATTTCTTTGGCAATAATTCTAATGAAGCAGTATTCACTGCCTCAACCAGCTCTGGAGGGATCCCAGGAATGGAAATTTCATCATCACTTATCATTTTACTTTCGAGAACACCAGCAATTAAATTTATAAGCGTCAAGTTTGACAATTCAACCTCAATACGATTCCATAGTAACCCAAGTAATTTTATTAGGAATTTCAAAGCACCATTTATTTGGGAATAAAATTATCGCGTTTTTTTTAAATCAATCAATATCTGTCGAATTTTAAACGATTTGCGGAAAAATAGTATGTTTACCTCGTAGGAAAAGCCACATTCCTGGACTCTGTGTTGCTAAGTCTCGGCTTGCGCCTCGACTTAGCAATCTTCACAGTCGTCCAGGAATGTTAAGCTTTTCCTACCCGGTAAACAATGTACTATTATTTACTTCGGAAATCTCTTGGGAAATATACTAAATATTATAGTTTAATTTATAATTTATATGGTATTTTTTCTAGAGGTATGTAAAAATTTAATTGGTTTTTTTTTTGTTTTTCGTTTCCACACTTTAACTTTGTCGAATTGTTTGTATTTATTCTATTTGAAACTAAAATGTTAATACTTATTACGATTATAATTTACTTCTTAAATACTTCAAATTAAGATCTAAATATTTTTGTAATCTCTATTTCTTCTTCTTCTTCTTCTTTTTCTTCTTCTTCTTCTTCAGGTGCCATCTCCGCGGCGGAGGTTGGAAATCATCATAGCTTTTCGGACTTTTGAGACGGCTGCTCTGAAAAGTTCATTTGATGTACATCCGTACCACTCTCTCAGGTTGCGCAACCATGACATTCTACGCCCCCCTATGCTTCTCTTTCCTTGGATCTTTCCCTGCATAATCAGTTGGAGCAGGGTGTATTTCTCTCCACGTGTAATATGTCCGAGATATTCTAATTTTCTTGTTTTAATTGTATTTAAAATTGCCATTTCTTTATTCATCCTTCTCAGAACCTCTTTGTTTGTGACGTGTTCTGTCCACGATAGTTTCAGAATTCTTCTGTACACCCACAGCTCGAATGATTTTAGTTTTTTTCATTGATGTTACATTCAAGGTCCCAGATTCCATTCCATAAAATAAAGTCGAAAAAACATAGCACCTCGCCAACCTAACTCTTAGTTCCAGTTTTAAATCCCTGGTATTTTTACATAGAACTCTTCTCATTTTGTCGAAATGTGCTCTAGCCTTTTCTATTCTGATTTCGATTTCCTGAATTTAATCATTGTTCCCAGATATTTGTCAACTTGTTCGACGTTGGTTCCGTTTATTAAAAGATTCTCGTTATTTCTTTGAGTTTTTGATATTCTGATAAATTTCGTCTTCTTGGCGTTGATTGTTAGACCATACTTCTTTCCATACTCTACTATTCTGGTCACCAGTCTCTGCAGATCTTCAATGTTTTCGGCTAAGATCATAGTGTCGTCCGCTTATCTAATGTTAATGGGAACTCCATTTACCTTTATTTCAGCTGTTTCACCCTCATGAGCGTTTTTCAGGATCTCTTCGGCGTAGGCATTAAAAAGAATTGGCGACAATACGCATCCCAGCCTCACTCCACATATAATTTCAATTTCTTCTGATTGCTGTTGGTTAACACGTACTTTTGCTCGCTGTTTATAGTATAAATTTGATATGATCCTGAGGTCGCTGTTGTCAATCTTCTTTGATTTCAGGACATTCACGCGTTCCTAGGCCTTTGCGAAAATAAAATTACGTATCATTAACGTCTATGTTCAATTTGTGATATATTCGGTTATGGATGACTTTAAGTGGTAACTTTAACATATAAGACATCAAGCTAATGGTGCGGTAGTCGCTGCATTCTCTTGCGTTTTTCTTTTTAGGGAGACAAATAAAAATCTATGTTTAATACGCCTGAACTATAAATTTGGTTCAAAAGTGTCGCTAAAACATCAATGTGCTTCTCATGTAGAATTTTTAGGATTTCTATAAGAAGCATGTCAGGTCCAGGACTCTTCCCACTCTTCATTGTTTTTAATGCATGTAATATTTTTTCTTTTGTAATTTATGGACCTATTTCTTCTGACGTAAGTTCTATGTGCTCAAGATCTCCTCTTTCATCGTCAAACATCTTTGTACTTTCTCGTCAGTATGTGTTACAGTAGTCCCGTGTCTATCCAGAATTGCACTAGCGGAATTTTGTTTTCTTAGTCCTGCCTGTTCTTTAACCTTCTTGTGTAATATATACCTTTTACAAAGGATTTTTAATAATTTTTTTAATATATGGTATACAGCCAACTACAGGAACGTAGATTCGTTGTGGACTTCTTGTGTAGGTTAAATAGATCATATTTATTTTGAAGGTCTTAGATCTCTTTGCATTCTCTTCAAAGTATTTTTCTTTTGCCTGCTTTATCATCTTCCTGATCTCGTGGTTTATCTCTCTGTATTTATTGTTGTCCTTGTTTTTAAATTGTCTCCGTTGTTCCATCATATTGAGTATCTCGTCATTCATCCATTCTGCTTTTCTCCTTGCGGAAGTCTTTAGTATTTCTTTACAGGGTTCCAGTAGACAATGTTTTAGTCGATAACAGTACTCGTCAATATCATTGGTGTTTGTGTTCAATTTACTGCAGTTTACATGCAGTTCATGTTGGAGGGATTCTTTTACTTTAGATTCTTTAAGTTTTCTTGTGTCTATTGTAGGGATTTTTTGATGTCGTTTAATATTTTTAACTGTGAGTTTAATTTTGGCGATAAGTGGATTGTGATCTGAGGCCACGTCTGATCCAGGATATGCTTTCACGCATTTAACAGCATTATCTTTCATTGATCATAATGTAATCTATTTGGTTTCTGACTACACTTTCTCCGATGTATCTACGGGCGATTGTCATGTTTGGTAACTTGAAAAATGTGTTTGTAATAATAAAGTTCTGCTCTTGACAGCATTGTAACAGACGGTCTCCTCTCTCGTTTCGATTTCCCAGACCACAGTTTCCTATACACTTTCCGCTTTGTCCCTTTCCAATCTTTGCATTGAGATCACCTAGGACTATCGTGATTTCTCTTGTTTGGTGATTCACTTGGAGCCATAAGTGAGAGTTAGGTGTCTTATGAGGACCAGTGATCAAGAACCATCTCCCGTCTATGACGTTCGATGTGATCGTTCCGATAAAAGGTGCTACCTCTATAACATAACCCTACACCCCAATGTCTATTTAAAAAGTATCAAATCAGTCTTAATTAGAAACACTGGTTTGATTTATCATTGGTCAACTAAAATCTACTAATTTCTTCATTTAAAGAAAGGAAAAGTAAAAAGGTTATCATTGTTATACATCTTCCATTAAGTATTATAATAATACTAATAAGTCCTCGACAGAATATGTAATAATATAAGCTCTCTGTTAACACCCGATGGATCTTTGATTTGGCCCTGACATTTATTTACTCTTGTTGTATGAATGCAACATCAAACCCCCCTCCATCAGTTCAGTTATGCGGAAACTGCCTTAGGGTGCTTCTCGAAATCTGATTTGTGTCATATTATTGTTAACTGTGACGTATGCATTTGTTTTATCAACTACAAAAAGATATTTAATAGAATAAAACAGAATATGCTCATAATCATCTTAAAGAAGCGGTCTGAGATGATAAAGACTTGAGAATCATGTATAGTAATCATTCAACCAAACTGCCAACATTAAAGTTGATGACCAGTTGATAGAGGCGGTCTCCATAGATAGAGGACTGATACAAGGATGAATTCTATCCCCGGTACATTTAACATGTACTCTGAACATATTTTCGAGCAAACACTGGGAGAACTACAGGAAGACGTATTACGGTAAGACGGAACGCGTCTAAACAACAAGAGATGTACCGACGACGAAGATACCTTAGATGGTTTTAAAGCAATATTTTCGTGCATATCGAAGTAGAAAATATGGACTGGATCTCAATACAAAAAACAACAAAGTACTTGGTAGTCAGTGAGCGCGAAATATTAAATACACGGCTTTTGGTTAACCAACAGCCAGTTGACGTGGTAAACAGCTACAAATACCTTGGTACCAACTTAAACAGCCAATGGAATCGCTCTACAGAAATACAACAACACATTTTTATTTGGTCATAAGGGTCCAGCAAAGAAAGATTGTTCCGAAAAAAAAAAATGGGAACTGCTGGTTTAGACAATTCTGTAGCAAGTAGCCTTTTAATATAGTTGTAGATGTACTCTTAAAGTTCAAACCCTAAAATAATTAGTTTGTCTGTTCACCAGACATGGCGTAATTTGCCCAATACTACAGTCCGAACTTTTGGTTTTGTCCTATATCCCAAGTATGTCTTCGTAGCGAACGGTACGAACAGTTGGCTTTGATCGGTATACTATCATGTATTTTTACTTATGACTAGACTCGTCATAAATCTTGTTTCCTTAAAACTGAATCAACCGTTTTCTACCAAAGTTGTAAGATCACCTTTTATGTAATAAAGGGTATTATATATTTATAATATTATGGTATATGTAATTAATATACGTTTTTAATCGCGGTATGCCACCGGTTACTGATAGATATTTCATAATCATTGATAAGCTATTGGATAAAAACACGTGACCGCGTAATAAATCCAGGTTTCTCGTAATAGGAAATGTCGATGACAACAAACTGCCTTGCCTGATAGTTACAGTTGATTTGGAAATGCACGATAATACAGGTTTGATGGCAGGAAATTTCTTTCTCTTGTCACTAAAAACTGTAAATTTTCCAAAAAGAAAAGATGCAATGAAAAAACCAATTCCAATCACCAACGTTGTTGCGTTTCTTTTGCATTTCAGTATTTTTTGTGCATAGTTACCTTCAGGTTGGTGAAAATCATTGTAGTTGCCTTCCCATTTGGGTGAGGGTGATTTTTGTCTGCAAAAAAAACACTTTTTTGTGCGGCATTTAAATTAAATTTTGGTTTTAATATTGTGTGATAGATTTGCGCTTTCCACATGTTTAGTTTAAAGTTTTGTTTTAAAGTTTTCTTGTGAGTTTTCAAATTTCTCTTAAATATCGCCTCCTCCAACAAATTATTTCTTCTTTCTCTACGAGCAAATATTTTCTATTGTGCTTCTCGCAAACGATGTTAAAGTCGTGCATAATGTTCCCCAATTTATCTCTTATTATGTTTGACAAAGTTTCGTCAGTATTAGTGTCTACTTAAAAGTTTGTCCAAAGCATTTATCCTGGGTGGATCACTTTCAAACACTGTTGACTTTTTATAACCCCACAAAAAGAAGTGGAAAACAATTAAATCGGGAGACCGAGAAGGCCAACTCATATTCCCGTTTCGAGAAACAATACGCCCTGGAAACAAAGCATTAAGAGCGTTGATTGAAATTCTTGCGATATGGCTTGTTGTCCTTCCTGTTGAAAACGTGTTGCCATTGACTGGAAAGCAGTCAATTTGTGGTTTGAAAAATTCTAAATCATTGTAACGTCACGCTCAGAATTAACGGTAACGCAATTTTCAGCCTCATCTTAAAAACAATATGAACCGATAATTCTAGTTGCCGAAACCATACATCATACTGTCACATGAAGCAGACGCGGGTTTTCTCCTGCCCAGTATCTAAAATTTTGTTTGTTAATAAAACTAGAGAAGTGAAAAAGCACCTCACCTCTGATCTGCAATTTGTTAACACGTTGAAAACGGCGTGAGATTACAAGGATGCCACGCCGTTTTTAGTGTAAAGTTTTATATCTGGGAATGAAGCTAAAATTTTTTATAACGGAATATTTCCTATATTGTATGAATTAGGTATTCAATATTTGAAAGTCTATTGATGATTTCTTATTAAGTAATTTTCTAATATTGCGACATTATCTATTACTTCTAAAGAAATATATAGATGTAGACATACCAAAAAACAAATTCATAAATAGTGAAACATTTTTACTGGAATTAACTAAAATATATATCTTTTTGTTTTAGCTTTTTCTTAAAATCCCTAAAACAAGCCGTAGAAAATCCCATTGAACTAGCTTCGCTTTTCAAACGTTATGAACGCAAATTACAAATGTACGTTATCTATTGTAAGAACAAACATGTATCCGAATATATAGTTTCCGAATACCTAGAGACCTATTTCGAAGATTTACGGGTAAAATTAGGACATAAGTTACAACTTTGTGATTTGTTAATCAAGCCTGTGCAAAGAATCATGAAATACCAATTGATGCTTAAGGATATTTTGAAATATACTGAAAGGGCGGGGATAACAGCGGAGATTGAACCGCTTAGGGCAGCATACAATATAATGGTGATCGTACCAAAGACTGCTAATGATATGATGGATGTTGGAAGACTACAAGGATTTGAGGTAAGCACTTTAATATCTCTTAACATCTTGGTTGCTTACTACTATTTAAGTTGTTTACTTACTATTTACAAGTCTATGAAGAACTAAAAGAACCGTAAATAAAAATACTAGAATGGACCACGTCTTAACCATTCTCTGAGGTTTTTCAGCCAGACGTTCTTCTTCTACCTATGCTGCGCTTTCCTTGAAACTTTCCCTGTATTATTAGTTTTAGGAATTCATATCTGTCACCACGTGTTATATGACCCAGATATTGTAGTTTTCTTATTTTGATAGAATTCAATATCTTCCTGCTGTTCTGTATGCTTCTTAGTACTTCTTCATTGGTTATTCTGTCTGTCCAGGAGATGCTTAGCATTCTTCGATATGTCCACATTTCAAATGCTTCCAATTGTCCCAAATGTCTCCATACCATACAAAAGAACAGAAAATACATAACACTTTAATACTTATTTTCTAAGATTTAGTTTGAGGTCTCTACAATATAATATTTCTTTCATATTATTGAATGCACCTCTAGCCTTTTCTATTTTAAAAATAACTCTAATTTCTTTGGTATAATCCTTTGTTTCATTAATGTTTGCCCCTAAATAGTTATAATTCTGAACTCGTTCTATCGTCTTATTATTTACGTGTAGATTGATATATCTAATATTTTTCTTTGATATAACCATGAATTTTGTTTTCTTTATAAAATTAATGGGAAAACCCCGTAGTTGGCTGTATACCATCGTTTTAAAAAAACACAGAAGTTAAAACACTTCACACATGTGTATTGTGGTATAAAAACAAATATTTAAAACTTTCTAAAAGTGTGGTCAACATTTAAGTTCTGACAGAACGTTTTCGATCTGAACATATCATTATCAGTACCTTGTGTACTTGTAGCTAACAATAAAGTTGTCTATAAGATCTCCATGTATAGATTTACAGCATTCTAAATGTTACAATTAATAATGTTTTGACTCTAGGTCGATGACAATGGATAGGTTTTTTTAAATTACTTTAGGGACTACATGTCTCCCTGCTCGATTATTAATACGTGGTACTTGTCAGTTGAAACGACACAGACCAACTGGCTGAGGTGACAGGAAAATTTTTTTTCCACAGGGCAGCTGCCTCAAAGGTCAAAATAGCCATGATGATACGTGCCATCGTCGCGGAGATGGCAGTTAAGGAACAAGAATGGATAAATCACTACAAAGCACTCAGGAAAAACCAAGAAGTAATCCGAAATAATGATACATTTGTAAACGACAATAGTAAAATCGTAGAAGTTGATGAAATAACAATGGATGAACTAAAAATCGCGTTGGAAAATATGAAAAATAGGAAATTTGTAGATAAATACAGAAATAATGAAATATGCTGGCAGTTTCTGCCATATTTTTAATATGTATTGACAGAGATAGCAAATCCCAGATCCATGGAAAAGAGTGGAGTATTAGGGTAGTACCTTATTTAAATAGGGTAAAATAATCGACTCCAGATTGCGAGGCATTAGTATACTAAATATTGTATATAAAATCGATGCAAAGACCCTAAACAAAGACAAAAGGTTGTAACTGAAGTACAAGTATAAAATAGATTTCAAAATGGCGCACATGTAGTGATAATATATTTGTAATCAAACAACTGGTCCAGAAATACAGTGTATTAAACCTGGAAACCTATCTAGCTTTTATTGATTTCGATAACGCCTTTGGCCGAGTCGATCGAAATAAGATCTGGGAAATAATAAATGGCAATGGCTCCATTTCACATCTTACAAATTCAATTAAAATTTTGTACTAGCAGACAAAAGTAGTGGTGAACACTGGTGTGAAAAGAACCGAAAAAAATCGAAATCGACCAAAGGGCAAGACTGTTGCCTTTCACCCACCCTTTCTTAACGTATTCATTGACGACGTCATCAAAAACTGAAAATCAGTAAAATATTGTAGTATACAACTCTATCGACATGCTTACTTATTTGCAGAGACAATATTTGTACAAGAAACAAAAGACAAACTACAATTATTAGCAATACATTGGTTAAACCAAATATGTATGCAAAAAATCCCGCAATGAATAAATGACGCTTAGTGGACTAAACTCATAACACAGTGGGATCCTAGATTTTATGCTATAGAGATGGGTATAAATCCACAACACGGTGGATTATAATATATCGGCATAAATCTGGTATAAATCCACAACATGCCAATAAACAAGCAGAATTGCCAATAAAGAGGAAGAAGAAGATGAACGTTGTCACAAACGACAAACGAATTACACACAGTACAAGATCAGAAGCACTCTGAACGACTGAGAAGGGCATATGTTGAATAATGGACTCTACATGCTCTTTGTTGATGATTGTGCCAATGAATTACATATAGCCGTGAACATAGTGGTGAATACAATTTCGAAGTTGTCAAAGACCTCAAATAGTTGGTAGCAATGAAAATAGCTGAAAATAGTTATAAAAAGATGTAGCAGCTAGAATCATGTCAGCAAATGGAGCTTGTATTCCCTTGCGACGCTACTTAAATCAAAATTGCTCTCAAAGATAGCTAACACAATGATATATAAAACTAATCCCCCACATAATAACGTATGAAAGTAAGACGTGTACAATGAACCAGCGTGAAACAACAAAATTATTAGTCTTAGAACAGAAGATGTTCCGGACGATCGTTGGACCTTGTAGAGTCGAAGACCAGGAACCCTAAGCACTTTAGGTAGAAGAAAACAGTACGATACGTTAAGGTAAATCGGATAAGATGGGCAAAGTATGTATTGAGATCGAATGATAAAATACTACTAAAAACAGCCTTCCGGAAAAGGCCTGTTGGCAGAAGGTAAGTTGGTTTCCCAAGAAAAAGATGAAAATAGTGATCTACATAATATGGGGGTACAACAATGGAAGATTGCTGCACAAGACCGCAACAGTTTTCGTTCTTAAGGTTTACGACAAGGTTAGGGAGAATGAGAAGACAATTAATAATTGTCGGTTTTATACCAATATTTTTACTGATTCTAAGTACTATATTTAATTAAGTGTTATATATTTTTAGGGTAAAATTACTGCACAAGGAACTCTGCTTCTGCACGGAATGTTAACAGTTTCCGATCTACCTGGATCGAATCCAATCATAGGCAAAAACAAGGATTTGCATGTATTTTTCTTCGAACAAAGTATTATTTTTTCTGAAGTGGTAGGAAAGAAGACGCAGTTCACTAGTCCGCAATATATTTATAAAGCTCATATTCAAGTAAGTATTTTTTTACAATCCGAATATAATAACATGAGACATTTTTTTTATTCAGTGTGCACTATTTCGTTCTTTCTTCGATCTTTCATAGTATCTAGTTATAGGTTATATAATTTACTTATATATTATATTTATAATATAAATGTGATTAGGTTATACAGTCTTCCCGGCCTAGCTTTTACTGTCTTTTGTTTTGAAAAAAATCAAAAACAACCATTTGGTAGAATGGTTTTTTAAATTGGCACAAATTTGCATTGCATTGTTTGGTACAAAAACACTTGGAGCACAAACTTATCGTTTAATTCTATAAATCCATAGCACAACTAATATATCTTTTTGCCTCTCGAACTAGTATAATCATGGTGTGATAAAGAACGTCATAAGGGTTCTTTATTTTTAAACCTAGTCAATACATTACACCATCCAGCTTCGAAATTCTTCTTATAAACTAATTTTAGGATTACAACAAAAATAAAAACTAAACAATATTACATTTCGAATTCAAAACTTGTTCCAAAATCTTATTTATCCAAAGTCTTGAAAGCCGATCCATGCAAGTCTCCAAAAAGCCCGTCATCAGGGTTTTGTTTAACTTGTTGGAAAACCAACTAATTCTTTAATTGTTTCAATTTAACCTAACGCCGCCTCTGTTCCTTAATAACACATGTTAGCCCTTATTAGTTAAAAGAACCAGAAATCTTCAGTGCATTTGACGCCCCTCTTACACCCGCTGACCCTTTGTCATTTACCCAAGCTGGCCACATATTGCATACAAGCATATAAGGGCAGTCGCATTAAGTAGTTCAAGTTAAGAAGTCGCTAAATAAGTTATTCTCTCTCCTCGTTCTCTCTCTCTCTCACCCGTATATAGATATATTACAAGTTATATTATAAGTTATTTTAGTGTTGCAAAGTGCAAGGTGTATATGTGTAAAATAGTTTGCAAGTAAAATAAATCCAAGAAGTAAAGTGTAAGTGTATAATTTCACCCCCACAAGAGTAACAAAACGAATCAGCAACCTACGCTTAAATCCTGTAACAAATCAAGACAGGTCACCACAAGGGTTTTGGTGCTCTCAGGGAACGTTGAAATTAACCCCATCGTTTCCCTTTATGGTCCTTCATCGCTAGATTTCTTGTGGAAGGTGAATTTAAGAAAAAAGAAAAAATCCCGGGAAAAGTTCAAATCAAAAAGCCGGTAACGCCACATCACGGAATCATCGCCCTTTCTCTCTCTGCATCTGCACGCAACACCACCGAACGCAGCACATGGTTAGTATACGGAGTGTACGTCTTCAAGTTTCGAATACACCGATTGTCGAGTAACCGAGCAATCTACAAGGTATCTCTCTCATACACACAAGGTAAGCGGCTCTTTCTCTATCATTCTTCACTCTCGACGACACGAACAGAGCGACGGATTTCACAACAGGTGTGAAGTTGTTGACAGTTTGTGTGTTTTTGTGTTTTGTTTTGGTTTATTTAAAGGTTAGACACTAGAATTTTTTTAATTTTATTATATTCAATTAAACTCACATAAGGATTTAAAAAAAAACTGATTAAAATAGTAATTCGTATAAAATTATAGTAGTAATTGTGTGTTTATACGAGTTTATATATATTATAAACATATAAAGTTGTATATTTTATTTTATCATATCAATAAGTACATCAATCTCTTTAAAAATGGCTTTGGACACATTAAAAACTGAAAGAAAAGTTTTAAAAGCAGGTATTACTAGAATTTTCAATTGGTTCAACATTAACAAAGACTCAGAACTTGACATCTTGCACTTTGAAAATAGGGAAAGGCAACTGAGGACCTATTTTCAACAATATGAAGCAATTCAACATCAGATCGAATGTTCTGATGATGCTGATGTTGAATCTTCAGATAGGGATGATGTCGAATGTAAGTACTTTAATGCTCTGGCAGGGATTCAAAGAAAAATTAAAAATATTAATGAAATTGTAACAAATGTAGATTCTCACAATACTTCACAAAGTCATGCCTCTAAACATTCAATAAGACTGCCAGAGATAACAATGAAAGTTTTCACAGGTGAATTCTCAGATTGGAACTCTTTTATTCAACTCTTCAGCACTTTAGTAATTGAAAATCCTGATTTGAATGATTTACAAAGGCTAATATATTTAAAAACGCATGTTAATGGTGAACCTTTGGAATTAATTAAAAGTTTGGAAGTGATTGATACTAACTTTCATATTGCCCTAAATACTTTAAAGGAACGTTATGATAATAAAGCTCGCATAGTTAGTAGTTTGATTAAAAGGTTATTAAAAATTCCATCCCTAGTTAAATGCACTCCACAATCACTTCGAAGCTTTTTGACTAATATAAAGCAAACTATGCAGTCTCTCAGTAATATGCAGATTCCAGTTCAGCATTGGGATCTTATCTTGATTGAATTAATCTTAGAAAAGGTAGATTTTAATTCTCATAAGGCATTTGAGTATGAACTTGGTTCCAAGGAAATACCTACATTAGCTCAGCTTTTTATATTTTTAGAGAAAAGATGTGAAATCCTTGAGAAACTGCATAGCTCTAATCCTCAGACTCAAAAATTTAATTCTAGTAGTCATGCTCGTGTAACACATCTCTCTAATATTGAAAGTAAACCAAATAATTTAAGATGCTTGTTTTGTTCTCAAAATCATAAAATTTATAATTGCAATGGATTCAAAGGCTCATTGCTTCAGGAAAAACTGAAGTTTGTAAACACAAAGAAATTGTGTAGAAATTGTTTGGGAACAAGGCACTTCACTGCAAATTGTGGTTCGCAGTCAACTTGTTCTATCTGTCATGGAAGACATCACTCACTCCTTCATAGAGACAATCATATACAACACTCAACTGCTACACAAAGATCTCTTCCTCCTGAAGCTCACATGATCAGAAATGATAACCACTCTCTTAATAGAAACAATTCTCAAAATACTCTGTCTAATCCTCAAGCCTCATTGTCTCTTGCTCAAACTCATGCTAATAGCACTAATAAAGACACTACTAGGTCTAATAATCCACATGTATTTCAACATAATACACCCTCTAATCAACCAGGTACCTCATCTCACTATCATGATCCTCAACAAACTCAATCTGGTTCTCACAGTTTTGATTCACACGGTGTAACACAGTCATTCTCTGCACTCTCACTCACGAATGAAGTAGTATTGGCTACAGCTCTCGTTACACTAGTGGACAAAGATAAAAATTTAGTCCATGCCCGTGCTCTTCTTGACAATGGCAGCCAGACAAGTTTTATAACCCAAGAGTTAGTAAACAGGTTAGGTTTTCATTCTTATAATAGATTACTTAAAATTTCCACCTTATCTCAATCTTGTTCCACCTCCAACAAGATGATAGACCTCATTATCTATCCCTTTAGAACAACACAAAATGGATTTAATGTATCGTGTGCTGTACTGCCAACTATAACATGTAAATTACCGCAGGTAAAGATAAGTAGGTCTCATTTAAGTATACCTCATGATATAAATCTTGCAGATCATTCATTCTCAGTACCTGGTAAAATTGATATGTTATTGGGCAATGACATATATTGTGATCTGTTAACAGATGGAATAATAAAACTTGGAAATGGCCCTATACTGCAAAATACACATATTGGATATATTTTCCAAGGAAGACTACCTTCACAGTCAATTCCCAACTATCATGCACATGTCTCGGACAATAACAAGAATTCTTCTTTCTCAACTCAGGTCTCTCTTTGTATCAATTCTTTGCATAACACTGAACCTCTCGATGCACTCATTCAAAAGTTTTGGGAGGTTGAAGAACTCCCTGAAAGTCCCATGCTCAGTCAGGATGATGAACTTGCTGAACATATCTTTAAAACCACGACAAAATTATTACCTGAAGGTAGGTTTCAAGTAGATCTGCCACTACGATCTTCAGCAGAGCCTAAAAGACTAGGCAATTCCTTTTATTCTGCAAGACAGAGGTTCTACAATCTAGAAAGAAAACTTGTAAAAGATAGCACAGTTTACACCCAGTATAAGAACTTCATACAAGAATATCTCTCTCTTGGTCATGCAAAGGTGGTACCTCTCACACTCACAAACCCAATGTCAGAAAACAAATACTTCATCCCACACCATTGTATTATTCGTGAGGAAAAGCTCACAAACAAATTACGTGTTGTGTTTGATTGTTCCATGAAAACAAGCTCCGGTATCTCACTCAATGACATTATGTTGAAGGGGTATAAAACTCAACCAGAACTAATTGACACTCTCATAAATTTTAGAACATTTCTATATGTTTTTACCTCTGATCTCAGGCACATGTACAGGCAAATCCTCATAAACCCCACTCAAAGGTATCTCCTAAACATTCTCTGGCGAAACTCCCCTCAAGATGAGTTGCAATGCATCCAGTTGAATACTGTAACATATGGTACTAACTGTGGTAACTTTCTTAGCTGTAGATGTCTAGTCGAGTTAGCTCACACTCATCAAGGATCATATCCTCTTGCAAGTGATGCTATTCTCAATGCATGCTATGTATATGACATGTTGTATGGTGCTGATGACCCAACAAATCTCTTAAAAGGCATATTTTGAAATCACAAAATTATTGAACAAGGTAGGAATATCAGTACACAAATGGTGTTCTAACTCTCAAACATTTTTGGAAAATGTCTCCTCTCGTTCTCATGATTCCAATTATGTTATAGCTCCAGAAAATGGTAATAGTAAGGTATTAGGACTCTACTGGAATGCCAACTCAGATGTGTTCTCAATTTCTGTACCTCAGTTCTCACAAGAATCACTCATAAAAACCACCTATACTAAAAGAGAAGTGCTTTCGCTGATAGCTCAAATTTTTGACCCTGAAGGTCTCATTGCTCCAGTAGTAATTATTGCAAAATTAATAATGAGAAAAATTTGGCTTGCAAAAATTGATTGGGATGACCATCTCAGCTCTGAAATTTTGAAAGAATGGCTCAAATTCATTCAAGGTCTATCTTGCTTGCAGTCACTAAAAATTCCTAGATGTCTTTTCAAAAATAAAAATATAAGAAAGATCGAAATTCATGGCTTCTCAGATGCTAGTATACAAGCATATGCTGCATGTGTATACATTCGTGTTATTTATGATTCTAACACTTTCTCTTGTGCTCTTATCGCCTCTAAAAGCAGAGTGGCGCCTCTCAAAATTGTTAGCCTTCCCAGACTCGAACTTATGGGTGCGGTTATATGCTCAAAACTCACCCAACGAATTGTTAGTACCCTTAAAATCAGAATCCCACAGATTGATTCCATAAATTTATGGAGTGACTCAGAGATTGTTCTAGCTTGGTTAAAATCACCTCCTTCACGTTGGACTCCCTTTGTTGCCAATAGAGTGGCAACAATACAACAAAACTCAGAATTTATCTGGAGGTATGTTAAATCCAAGGAAAATCCTGCAGATATTTTGTCTCGAGGTATATCACCGTTAGAACTTCCGAACAGTACACTCTGGTTTAATGGTCCACATTTTCTGTCCCAAGTTGATTTAAATCTCACCCTCTTCAATTCAAAAAACAAAATTAATCACGTTCCAGAGGAAAGAAAATCTCAGATTGTCCATCATGTTCAAGTCTCTCCCTCATTCCTAGATGAACTCATTCGACCATTCTCTTCATTTACAAATCTACAAAGAGTGATTGCTTATTGCTTAAGATTTGCTCATAATACCAGGAAACCATCAGAAAAATTCTCCAACAATCTCTCTGTAAGGGAACTCAAATCGGCTGAACTCGTAATTGTCAAACTCATACAAGATGACTCGTTTTCACAAGAAATTTCCCTTCTCAAAACTAAAAGGCCAATTACAAACAAATCCCTTTTGTCCATGAACCCCTTTCTGGATGAACATGAAATGTTGAGAGTTGGTGGAAGGTTAAAATATGCTTCTGTACCATTTGACCAAAAGTATCCTCTTCTCTTGCCTTCTAGGAATCAGCTAGTGAAACTTATGCTAAGGAGGGAGCATATTAGATTGTGTCATGCTGGTCCACAATGTACACTCTCCAACTTTAGACTAAAATATTGGCCTCTTGATGCTCTGCGGGAGATCAAAAGAATTGTTCACAGTTGTAAGATATGCTTCCGTTTTAAGGCTCAAACAGCATCTCAGCTGATGGCAGACTTGCCAAGAGAACGTCTAGTGTGTTCGCAACCATTTACAAATGTTGGAACAGACCTAGGTGGACCATACAATCTCAAAACTTCCAAACTTCGTAAGGCTCCTGTAACCAAATGTTATATTGTTGTGTTTATCTGTATGGTCACTCGAGCATGCCATCTTGAACTCGTCTCCAATCTAACCACAGAATCATTTCTGCTCACCCTCAAGCGTTTTATCAGTAGACGTGGCAATCCCTCTGTCATATTTTCTGATAATGCAACCAACTTTCTTGGCTCCAAAAATCAATTGAGAGAATTTGCTCAATTCTTGCGGAACCAAGACACTCAAAAGTCAATAAAGGATTTTCTCGCTTCCTCTGAGATTACATGGAAATTTATACCTCCTCACTCTCCACATCATGGTGGGATCTGGGAAAGTGCCATAAAAAGTGCGAAGTACCATCTTCAAAGGCTTGTTGGCAACCTAAACCTCACGTTTGAAGAATTCTCCACTGTATTAGCCCAGATAGAGGCTGTTCTCAATTCTCGCCCCCTCAGTGCCATGTCCAATCAGCCTGGGGATCTCTCTGTACTCACCCCTGGTCACTTTTTAATAGGCAAACCACTCACCTCTTTCCCAGAGTCCGATGTAAGTGAAATCTCCTCCTCTAGACTAAATCTCTGGGAAAATTGCAAAAAAATCAAACACCTTTTCTGGAAAAGATGGAGCACAGATTACTTGAATAGGTTGCAAAACCGTCCCAAGTGGCTCACCTCAAACAAAAATATGAAAGAAAATGATCTTGTCTTGTTGAAGGAAGATAATACACCTCCCTTATATTGGCCGCTTGCCAGAGTGATTGAGGTCTACCAAGGCAGTAATGGCAAGGTTCGTGTGGTTAAGATCAAAACGAAGGATGGAACTTTCACACGTCCCATCACAAAATTGTGTCCATTGCCAGAAGAGTATTCTGTGTAAATATTAGGTAAATGTTATATTGTATTGTAAAGTGTTGATTAGCTACTAAGTGTAATATTTTTTAGGGAATAAGTTTACTCACCCATGCACTCTATGTTTAGTTGATAGTTTGTTGTTAAGTGTTCTCTAGAATTAGGTTTACAGTAGAATTCATCTTCCGTTAATTTAGTAACTTTGCTCTTGTTGTTGTCTCTTGTTGTTTTCTCTTGTTATGTCGTTAACTATTTTATTATTTGAAGCAATGCTTCAAGGCCCGGGAGTATGTTGGAAAACCAACTAATTCTTTAATTGTTTCAATTTAACCTAACGCCGCCTCTGTTCCTTAATAACACATGTTAGCCCTTATTAGTTAAAAGAACCAGAAATCTTCAGTGCATTTGACGCCCCTCTTACACCCGCTGACCCTTTGTCATTTACCCAAGCTGGCCACATATTGCATACAAGCATATAAGGGCAGTCGCATTAAGTAGTTCAAGTTAAGAAGTCGCTAAATAAGTTATTCTCTCTCCTCGTTCTCTCTCTCTCTCACCCGTATATAGATATATTACAAGTTATATTATAAGTTATTTTAGTGTTGCAAAGTGCAAGGTGTATATGTGTAAAATAGTTTGCAAGTAAAATAAATCCAAGAAGTAAAGTGTAAGTGTATAATTTCACCCCCACAAGAGTAACAAAACGAATCAGCAACCTACGCTTAAATCCTGTAACAAATCAAGACAGGTCACCACAAGGGTTTTGGTGCTCTCAGGGAACGTTGAAATTAACCCCATCGTTTCCCTTTAAACTGGAATAAGTATTTCCACTTAATTTAAAGCAGACTAAAGATAAAATTTTGACTAAGGTTGAAAAAAAAATGTGGTTTAATATTTACTCGGTGCACATGAGTTAAGTCCCTAAATACCTGGATAAAAACTCTAGATGGTACAAAATGCAATATGTTTTAATATGAGCGTGGTAAGTCAAGGCGTTGACGTGATGGACGATCCAAGAGTTCTCTTTCAGCATTTTGGGTCTCTTTACAATTTTTTCCCTGTGACTTCGTATAACCTCTAAATAGTATCTAATATTCATGAACTGTCTGACCTTATGGTACCTATTCAATTTGAAATACATTCCGTATATTGAAGAAAACAATCAGTGTCCTTGAATTTACTCTTACTCATCTTACTCCATGGATTGATTTCGGAGTCATAGTGAAAATCCATATTTAGCCCTAATGTATGACCTTGGCAAGAAGTACAAGTCCTTTTCGATGCTTCTCAGGATATCAGAACAAATGTCTTTATGGTGCAACGACGATGTTCTGCTATCCAAAGGAGTCTGGACATGCAATGACCCTAATACTTAATTGGCGGTCTTTTCAAACTTTTTATAGTTTAAATTTTAAATCACTTCAATATCCTTCTTTTTTTTATTCCACCTAAATTTTAATAAATTGTCTCTCAAAGAATCATCGTTGCTTTCAAAAAACTTTAAACCTGAGTCAAAGAGATCATAAAATCTTTTTAGACACGTACCCTATCTAGAGTCTAGATTCCGTGGACTGATCGAATTACATATGAAGAGATCCACGAAGAAGAAGAATATCCTGGTTAAAGAACCTCAAAACCTAGTTCAGAACAACATCTGTACAGCTTGTCCGCGTTGCTGCGGGCAAACATAGGTAGCATGAAGAAGAAGAAAGATCTTCTTTGTTCTATATTTTATATATAATACAAAAAACAGTGTACGGGCGTACTTTAGCTAGAGATGTATAAAGATATGGACAAAATAAGAAATTATTTTAAAAGAGTGAAGAGTAATAAGTAAAAAACAGCTTGTTGTTTCCTCCCTCTATTATACTTATTTTCAAACACCGCATCGTATTATGGAGGGCAGCAAAAGAATAGAAATAAAAATAACTCAACTAACAATTTTGTGCATATAATTACAAACGAATAACCCAGTAACTATTTTTTCACTAAATATATAATGCTTTTCACCGAATATAGTGAATTTACTAAAATTCACCATAATTCTTAAACAATGATGTTTTCACAAAATGTGTACAGATCAAGCCATAAGTTGATATTAAGTTAATACATATGTTTTAGGTCAACAAAATGTCCCTAAGCACAAAAGAAGACTGTTTTATATTAGAATCGACGGATCCTAGTCGTTGCCTGGGTTTCGTCCTGCAAGCGGGAACAGTAGATTTGCAAGAACAATGGTTGATCACTATCCACGACACCCTTCAAAAACAGAGGGACTTCCTTAAGGCCATCCAAAGTCCCATAGCCTACCAGAAAGAGTTAACCACTAAAGAAGCGTGAGTATCCAAAAACATTTTTCTTTTCGTACACATGTACCTAACGGTCTCAAAAAGATATGCTGAATTCTGGTTGTGATTATGTTATATGCTTAAAATTTATGAGGAACTTTTAGTTAATCTACGCCATACTGTGAGTAAAGGATCTCATCAAGTACTTTATTAATAAACACCTTTTTCTTATGTTATTATGGTATAAATCAGTAATGGTTGTTGAAGAGATTATGTATTTAACAAACTGTACCTCACAGTGTAGCTTAGTAGACATCATTAGTTCGTATTTGTATTTATATAATATATGTTTATATATTTTGTTTTTGTACATTTTAAATTAAAATTGTATAAGTTTTAGTTTCTTAGCTACATAAATCATTGTCTTAAATAACCAATTTTTAACAAAGGTACATTAATTTACCATTGAATTGATTAAAGACAACTTAAATATGCTCTAAACTAAAATAATAGAAGTAATAGAAAATAGACATTGTTGACGAACAAATGAAATATGCAAAGAAATGTTTGGATTGGTTATATATCGGGAATGTTCAAGATGACAGATAAACAAGGTACAAAAACGCAGGAGTTATTTGTGTCATATTATGAATTATTAGAACAACGAAAAATTAACGTTTTTGTTAAAGTAATTTATTGATTTTGAGAAACTTTAATGGAATATGTAAAATACAGGATTGGAAGTTTAAGAAATGAACATACTGCAAATACTTTTTGCAATAACGACAGTTATATCAGTAAAGAACTAAAATTTTTCCGCAGCTGCACATTTGCATTAAGTACTTAATCTTGAAAGAGAGAATATTTTGTAAACATATTATATTAACAAAAATACAATGTAAAAAAATAGCAACCAATGTGTAACAACGAAGCAATCACCTGTATTACTACTGGGTGCCAAGTGTTTAACAATAAAACGACTTAAAAATTAGTTTAGCAAATCTTGCCTAAACTTTATAGTAAAATAAAAATGTAAAATAATTAATAAATGTAGGTTTGCTACATCCTTTTAATGATCAGTAGTGAACACCACGTGGGTAGTCCCCCAAAAAGTGGAACAAGAAAAACCTAATACAACAAAAGAAACTATAATAGGAAATCTTATTTTAGCGGACATATATACACTAATGATGCGTCGTCTTTATCACTTGTTTTTCATCATTGTTCTTAAGCACTTCAGCGATGATCTCTGCACCGGTTATCTCACCACATACTGCAACATCTTCATCCACATTGACAAAATCTTCATAAGAGATGGCAGGATCAGAAATGACGTTCTCCCAGCCGTCAACTCAAAGCAGCTTTTCTGTTTAAGTGTCTCAATATGTTTTCAACAAAAAAAAAGTCTGTAAAAATGTTTAAGACTTTTTATGATGCTTTGGTGATCAGGCTCAAGAAAAATCATATGTTGGCAGGGAAAAAAACTTAAAATTTTCATCAGTGGGATAGTGTTGTGTGCCGTACAGTTGTCATAAACAAAATAGCTTTTTTTTTTCTTTTATGAACTTTTTGTCTAATTTTATCAGCCATTTCTCGAAAAGATCACTAGTCATCCAAGCTCTAGCGCTGTTTACATATTCCACTGGTTTTGACTTTACTTTCTTAAAATAACGTGGATTAGCCGACTTACCAATCATCACTAAAGGTAGCCTTTCTGATCCGTCCATGTTTGCATTAATTAGGAGAATAACTCTTTCTTTAGTTAGCTTAGTTTTCCTCCGTGACATTTTTTCGTTTTTAAATATCGCCAACATTAAATATATCTCTTTCATCCATAACCTGAATTATCTTCGATTTTTTTTTCATTCTTGCTGATGAACGGCACTACTTTCTCCACAAAGGCAGTTAAATGAAATTGTTCAGGTTTCTTTTTTATAAGGGAATCTGCTTATCCCTGGCTTGTTTGAATCATTATAAAACACAACTGTCCACATTTGGATTTTCTGGTTCTCTTAACTTTCTCTTAGTTTGTTCTTTTCTGCACTCACTTTCACTCTTGAGAATTTTTTATTTATTCTTCAAGTAGTTGGATAAGGTGTTATGAGGAATTCCAAAGTTCTCGGCAATCTCAGATTTTTCTTCGTTCCTTTTTCTACTTCGTTAATTGCCACTATTTTTTCCGGTAACATTATAGTTTTGGTATCTTCGAAGTTTACGAGGCGACATCTTTGCTCAAAACGAAGTGACACTGATGTGATTGCGGTGATTGCAACGCCATCGCATTTCAACTGAAGGGGCGTGCCATGTGGGGGAGGATTTAGGTGCCAGATTTGGGTACAATGTCATACAGTGTCCTTGAATGCCTTAAAACAAGTAGCGCGGTAGGACATGAAAGAAGGTTTTAGGTTGTAGAAAAGTTCGAATTGTCCAAAATATAATTCGAATGATTTACGACTTTTTACCATCACTTATATAGAAAAGGACAAGAATCAAATACTAGAGAAGAGAAAATGTGAAGAGAAGTTTGAATTATGCAGGTTCCACTGTATCTTGCCTTACCATGAGGTTCTAGAAAATTAGTAAATATAAAAAAAAGCAATGGCAATATGATTTACACAAATATATATATATATATATATATATATATATATATATATATATATATATATATATGAATTTTATTATTAAAACAAAGGGTACCGTCCGTTAAGATGGGCAAAATGCTCTTACTCCTAGAATTGAATTTTTTTATTTTTTTGGGTTGATTGCAATCAATTTAAAAATTTCAAAAAATTCACACGCATAGTTAAGACTTTTACAAAACCTATTTATTTTTTATAGACTCATAGGATTAGTGTACATAACCTAAAAATGCATTATTTGTATATTTAATGTATGATTTAATCAAAAATTATATTTCTGGGTTTTTCCAGATTTTTATGCCAGGTGCGCCCACCTTCAAAAATCCAAAAACTGTTTTAGGAGTTTTTTAGGAATTTTCTCCATTTTGTAGAATTCAAAATAGATTACATCAAGATTTTTTACGCTATGTATAATTTGAAGCAAACAGGGTCCTTTAGGACGTTCAAAAATTGGGGAACACCTTTAAATCCCCAAGAAATCATATTTTTCTGAATTTTTAAGTCTTTTTACGAGTTTTTTCTGAATTAGCATATTTTTTGAGATACATATAACCTCAATAATTTATTTTTTATTTTTTAAATGTCTAAAAGACTCATCGAATTACTTACTTCGAATTATAATAGCCTATAAAAAAATCTTGATTGGATCTTATTTTAAGTCTATAGAATGGGGAAAATCCCAAGAAAACCCCAAATTTTTGAAGGTGGTGCACCTAACGGAAAAATCTACAAAAAATTAGAAATATAGTTTTTTATTAAATACAGAAAATAAAAAATACATGTTATGTTCAATCAGCCTATGGGTCTATAAAAAATACACGAGTTTTTTAAAAGCCTCAGCTATGCGTGTGAATTATTTGAAATTTTTAAATTTATTGCAATCCACCTAAAAAAATAAAAACGGAAGAATAACGTTTTTGGGGGAGCCAATGGCAGGTTAAACTTGCGCTAACCATCTGATCAAACTTTGATCACATAGAACGTAAAAAAATGAAAAACATTAAATTCAGGAGGTGAGGGCATTTTGCCTATCACAACAAGAGATATGTGTAAAATAGAAAAATGAAATAATCCAAAAGATTGTATCTACAGATCCTTTAAAAGGTTTAAATGAAGGTATGGCTTAGAGAGGTTAGATATGTTAAACAAACAATTCAAAAAAATTATGAAGTAACGCTGAATATTTGTAGAATATTAAATTGGCCAAAAAAAAAAGATCGAACCAATAAAATGTTTAACTAAATTTTTTATTTTAATACAGAAAACATATCCCCTACTATAATTCCAAAAATTACCAATACACAAAAAAATTTTGGAGCTAGTTTGACTGTAAATACGGGGGTTTATACAAAGGATAAAAGAGAATTGAACTGAAAAAATAAAATTTAAATTGAAGAATAATGTTTTAAACAGTAGATAGAAAAGTTAAGCGCCAACTATTTTTAGAAGAAAAATAGTAAATCGAAAGAAAAGCTTAACAAATAAATAAAATTAAAAGAAATTGAAGTAAAATAATTATTTAAAGAAAAATATCAAACACGTGACGTTTATAATGTTACAAAAATAGAGCCAAAGTTTTTTCCCGACAAATTATCTGGCTTTTTAAAATATATTAAAATTTCAAAAGATATTCAAACTGATATACCAAGCACACAATTTATCAAGGAAACCTATTTAATAGGAACTTGTTGTATGCTTCTTCGTATGTTCTACTCCTATATAAAAGTGTAGCGTTCAGTCTAATGTAAAATCGTATATGTTTAGTTCTTCCCCTTCCAACTCTGTTTATTTTAAATTTTAGCAACATTAAATGTCCTGAACATGTCTCATGGAATGCAAAAATTCATTGACGTCATGAGAAACCGCTCTATCATTATTTTAAGTATATAAATTTATGTATTGAAATCGTTTCGTTTCATTTTATGACAATGATTTATGTAGCTATCCAATTTGAGACTATATATTGTTCACATTAAATCAAAATCTGTACGGCAGTCTTGAAACTTACCAAAGATACAATACAAAATCTCATTTATCGTTCTTATCCTTACAAGTAATATCGATAAGAATGTTTGAATAATTATTACCAATGGCTTGTGATCAAAAAATATGGTGATGGGACTAAAAATTTAATGACTTCAAAATAGTTTTATTTATATTTGGTTTTTTCATTCAGATTGAATGATTTATACTTATAAGAAAGTACAGAGAAGGGAGACAATAGTTAGAAGTCTTTAAAAAGGAAACGAGGTAATAAATATTTAATAATGAAAGTTTAATTAGGTTATTTTTAAGTGTCATGCTATTTAACATTTTATCTTACAAATCAAATATTGTAAATATTTTAAAATATTGTAAAAAAGGGAAATTTAGTGCATGTTCTGGTAAATTTGATTCCTGTTTGTT